TCTCACAACAGACGTGGTTTTGAACTCCACTGGTCACTGCTTCTCACTAGAGCTCCTAGATATACTTCTCGAAGTCACTAGTGAGCATATGATTATATTAATTATAGAAGGGGTTTCGTGGAGATTTAGTATTTATCATTGTTGAAAGCGTGAGTCAATTGAAGCTAGACCACCATGGAAAACCATGGATCAGTTGAAGTTAGACATTAACACCGTTGGATGCCAGCTCAGTGGTCTATCGATTAAGGGCTTCGGCTCGAGACTGGTAGGTCCTGGGTTCGAATCTCGCTCGCGAGAGAAGGTTCGTGGATGTGCACTGCTGAGGAGTCCCATAATAGGACGAAACGGCCGTCCAGTGTTTCCAGGTTTTCCATGGTGGTCTAGCTTCAATTGACTCACGCTTTCAACAATGATAAATAAGAATATGACTTATTACTACAGTAAGATATGATGGTGGAATAAATGTTTATTACGTAATGGTTTGGAGCGATGTTATAAAATTGTCAATTAGAAACAAAGGATAACCAAATATCAATATATATACATACATACATAGTGAAGATAAAATGAGTCTGAGTAATTAATTTGAATATAACACAAGACATTGTCTTAATTATAAACTTCGGATACCTAAGACTAATATTTATTTAGAAGGAAAAGAGAGAGGAAAAATCTTAAAAGAAAAAGAACACCTAGTGAAACGGTTCAAGTATGATAATACTAACAAAAAAAGAAACTTATTTATTTTTATTTATTTATTTTTAAAATTCCACTTGGGTAAATATACGTAAATTTATGTAATTATAACCTTTGAAATCAGGACGTTTTACTAAAGATAACGCTAACATGAAGCAAATTAAAGTCAACCTTTTTGTCAACTACAGTTTGTTGATCGTTCTACTGTTTGTTTCTCTTTTGTTCTCACCAGAGCCACGAACGTAACTTACTTACTTACTTACTTACTTACGCCTGTTGTTCTCAATCGAGCGTAGGCCGCCGACCAGTATTCTCCAACCCACTCCATCATGGGCCTTCCTTTCTAGTTCTATCCAATTTTTTGTTCATTCTTCTCATGTCTGCCTCCATTTCTCGACGCAATGTGTTCTTCGGTCTTCCTCTTTTCCTTTGGCCTTCAGGATTCCATGTGAAGGCATGCCTTGTGACACGGTTGGGTGATTTCATCAAAGTGTGTCCTATCCGCTTCCATTGCTTCTTCCTGATTTCTTCTTCCACTGGAATCTGGTTTGTTCTTTCCCACAGTAGGTTGTTGCTCATAGTGTCTGGCCAACGGATCCGAAGTATCTTGCGTAGACAACTGTTAATACGGACGTAACACGTAAAGGTAAAACTTAGAGCAGATGGATGTTCACCAAGGTTACAGTTCGTGTGTCACTTATAAACAGATGATAACAGCTGTGAACACATAGTACAATACCAATACATAAATCTATTTATTAACTTGTTGGTTTACTTGCATGAATATCCTGCCATACATTTTCACGGTCTTATCACTCATGCATACACAGGCATATATATAGGCATATTTACCCACCTGGGAGGGTAGACGGTCACCGCTCCCTTCGGACGTGTTTGCTATAGCTGACTGTCACCTACGCTTTACATGCATACTGTTGATTCAAAGACTCTTTCCTTTGCACTTCATGACATATAAGCATAAGCAATCTTTCAGGGAGGGTTGATGACCATCTCTCCCTAGTATTTGCCATCATATTTTTATCGTCTTCTACTTGAAAGACTTGGCCTCAGATTTTCTTAGATACAGGGCAGACATTTTATCACCTTACGTTCTTGTGCTAGCTCACGCGCATACCCTTTGCACATAACTGCATACAGAAGCCATAAAAACAGAGAGCCATGCAATGCATATACGTAGGTATACACATAAAGCAGCCTGCATTATTTTAATGAGCCTCGAAATTGGAACCCAATTAGTCCGGTTTACAGCAGAGTGGTGGAATATTCTAATCTACACTGACCAACCAAACTAGCTAGCAAGATTTTCGTCACTACCCAAGAGTGTCATGTTGAGGCTTTGGGTTTGCTTGTAGGTTTCATGCCGTGTAACATCTTAATTTAGTGGCTACCATCTTAAATCCCTTTTAACTGGATTAGATTTATCTGTCACTCTCGGACAGAATCATGTTTTTCACTTGAAAAGAAGGTCTTTTTCTCTTGAGAACCCAACAGTTCATTTTTCCTAATGGTTTTGTGGAGTACATTACTTACGTAGACAGACACTAGTATTATGTAAAGTCAATCGGAAGTAAAAAAAGCCTGGCTGAAAAGATAAAGTTGAAGAGAATAGAAGGGAAGATAGAAAAGAATTGTGAACTTGAAGAATCATACAGAAGGTGAAAGAAAACTGGTGAAAATTTGCAAATGAAGTATTCAGAATATGGTTCCCATATTTTAACAAGGGATTTTTTAATTTTGTATTTAAATGCAATTGGTTGTCCCCACATGTGTTCTCGTTCATTATTGTTTAACTAATCGGTGTTTTACAGATTAGTTTTACCTAGTATTTGTACAAATTATTGACCGTGTCAATTGGGGGATGTACGGTTCAGGTGTTACGTATAGTTTGTGTATCTAACACTTCTATCCACGCTAATTTTCCTGATATTATCAACAGACTATCGTCTTTTAATGTATATTTGGGCGAAAGAGTGTATGACATAGGCAACCACTAGCTATACAGAACTCCTAGAAACCTAGGAATCCTAGCTATCGCAGCTTTATGGTCTTAAAATATGAGTGTCAATCCAATAGTTGATATAATTGTTGTAGCCAACGACAATCTCGCCTCGCGAGATTCGAATACAAGACCGATCGGTCTAGCGTGCAAACGCCTAACCCTTAGACCACTGAGCCAGCATTGCCTTCAGTGAGTTACTGTCTCACAACAGACTTGGTTAAACTCCACTGGTTACTGCTTCTTGTCGATGTATGTAGTAGTTTTCTACGTTTCAGCTCCGTACAGTAGAACTGTCTTGACATTCGTATTAAAGAGATTCATCTTGATATTGGTTGTAAGTTGTTTTGAGTTCCATATGTTCTTCAATTGCAGGAATGCTGCCCTTGTTTTGCCAATCCTCGCCTTTACATCTGCATCCGATCCTCCTTGTTCGTCAATGGTGCTTCCCAGGCACGTGGATGCTTCCACATCTTCCAGAGTTTCTTCATCAAGTGTGATTGGATTGGTTGGTGTTCTTTGTGTTGTATTTGAAAATATTAATGCATTGAACTGATGGTTTTTATGTTAAAAAACGAGGTCAATAGATTCATCTGCAGACCCATCATTTGGTATTCGTTTAGTTGGTCATATCACGATCATAACTAAAGAATCAGAAGAAAAGAAAAATAAGGAGCACAAAAAGTGATAGCACAGTCAGATTAAATAAACCAAGAAAAGATAATAATGTAAGGAATAAGGGAGTTAATACACGGCTCTGACTCAGTAAGTGTTAAAAATTTCTCCATGGTGTAAATCTGTTGTTTAACGTATCTATAGCACGTATCCTACAAAGATGATCATCATAACTATTATATTGTAACATTTTATATCAGATAGTGAAACATCACCTGTTAATTTTCAGTTATTACATGTCATTCATGTATTTTTATTTCTTTATTTAAGGGTATGTTTATTGTTTAACATGATGACTACAATCTTCTTTATATTCATGACAATTATTGAACAATAGTGATCTCAAGTGTAAAGATCAGAAACGTGAAACTGAATACAATTAATTTAGTCTATATAACTTGTTTGCTAAATATAAAACTTAACGCTAAACACCTGATGTTCTCTTTGCTATAGTTACCAAGTTTAATGAAACATCTCAGTATATATTTTAAAAAAAAAGAGAATAAATGAATATGGACAATTTGTCACTCATCCTTTAACATACTTACGCCTGTTACTCCCAATGGAGCATAGGACGACTCATATACTTTAAGGAAAATATTAATTCAATCACATTATCGTTGTTCATTTAAATTTCTCAATCCATCATATAATGTTAAAGAAATGACAGACATATTGTAATTCAATATTCATTTTGATGTTTATTTTAATCTTCTGTCTATCTTCCTTTTAAGTAAAGAAGAATAAATTGGTTGTATATTTAAAACAATATTCTATTCAAATATATTTCCATATTGCTTAAACTAATTTTACAATAATAAAAACAGAGTATATAAATTAAACATCATTATTAATCTCCTTTATACATGATTCATTCATTTCGCATTCATCCCTCCTTATTATGTCTTACTAATTTTTCACACAATTTAGTCTTCCACTTGATCGAATTGTAATTGCACTACCGTCATATCTCTCTCACGTTATCTGATCCATATTTATATTCTGATCATAGATCTTAAATCTTCACTTAACATATATACAGATTCAAGTCAACATTAACAATTTTATTCTATTTGGTTTGACAATCCTAAATAAACATTCATTAAACGATGTTTGTTACCCTTAACCTGGCCATTTTCCTCAGTTTATTAATTTGAATATATATGAATGGTAGAACCTAAAGTGAATTTCTCGAAAAGAATATTCTTCATTCAAATAGTAGTTTTTTAATATGAAGGAGATCTTTAAACGATTTATATATCGTATAATGTCACAGTATTAACAGGAACAAATATCTTATTGAGATTTTTCTGATGTCTTTTTTTTTCTGCCAAAAGTTCTAACCTACATAATAGTCATTAAATAGGAAGAATAATAATAAATTTATAAAATCTCAACGAAGTGAATTCGAAATAAATCCAACATTTTGCCTGACAATCTGATCCAAGCATTTTTCATAGAAAATTCTTATATACATATTAATCTATTTATTACTTACTTACTTACGCCTGTTACCCCTTGTGGAGGAGCATAGGCCGCTCACCAGCATTCTCCATCCAACTCTGTCCTGAGCCTTCCTTTCCAGTTCTTTCCAGTTGAATCTATTTATATAATGTTACTATTTATTATCATTTTTATTTATTCTATAAACTATTTCATTTTATATACAAATGAATCATTTATTATTATTGATGATGGTATATTACGTAATTTTTGTCAGGCTAATGATGTATGTAATCAATTGAATACAATTCATGAAAAATATTTTTTAATGGGTTTAAATTATCCACAATGGTTACCAGGTAAAAATTATACAAATAAAATATTTTGGACAAGTATTGTATATTTATTACCGGAAATAATTAAAACACCCAATACTAAAATGATATTACGTGATGCCAACCCTAACCCTAACAGTAATAATAATAATAATAATACAACTATAATAGTAGATAAACAATCCTTAATCAGTCCATCTGGTATTTTACATTTTACAAATACAATTAAATTACAATCCAATTTATTAACAAACAAAAAAAATTATTCTATTGTATGTGAATTATCATTAAAAGGTATACAAATGATGACAAGATTTAAATATCAATCATTTACAAAATTATTCAATTTTAATTATTTAAATAATAATCCAAAATTTGATTCTTGTTATAATCAAATTCGAGCGGCTAGTTTAAATGAATGTTTATACAAGTAAATTTTAATTATTAATATTATTAATATATAAAATGAATTGAAGGAGATTGTTTCACTTTTTAATAATCATTATCCTTATATTTTTTCAATAAATAAATAGTATGTTTTAATAGTTAAAATCATGAGTCAACTGAAGCTAGACAACTATGGAAAACCTGGAAGTACTATCAGTTAAGTGCTCTGGCGCGAGACTGGTAGGTCCTGGGTTCAAATCTCGCGAGTACAAGATTGTGGATTCGCACTGTTGAGGAGTCCCATAGTGGGACGAAACGGCCGTCCAGTGCTTCCAGGTTTTCCATAGTGGTCTAGCTTCAATTGACTCATGATTTCAACAATGAGAATAAGTATAATCAAGAGTTTGAAAATCTCCCAATTTTTTTAAAAATACACCTTGCTAATAAGCGTGAATCAACAAATAACAACAATCAATAGTGACCTTATAGTAGTCTTTGAAAATGTAACACCATTCAAATAGTTGTATAACTACAAATGAATTACTACGCTGAATATTTTGATCCTGGATGTATTATTCGATCATGTTTTTTGGTAATTTCCGTCAACAGTAAGAATTCACATCAACTATTTTCATTAACATCATAATAATAAGATTTACAGCTTCCATCAAACGTTTTTTTTGTTTTTTTTCTTAAACTTAAAAACACCGAGTTTTGTAATCGTGAAATCTACGCAAAATTAATGATTCTTGTCAAATTCAGCAATTCATTTAATTTTGTATTGTTTGTTTGAATCTCCCCATTGATGTTTAGGAATACAACTGATTAGTCTCTAATCGGCATATATACATACTGTGCGTATTGCCACGATATAGCCTTAATTCACAAGCGTTGTAAGCAAAGGTGGATAGTGGCTAGCAGTGGAATCCAGGACGCTGAGATGAAGGTACATCCAGCTGACAAGTCCCAAATAGGATGAAATGCGCGTCCTGGATTCCACTGCTGGCCACTATCTATCTTTGCTTACAATTCATTTAACTGTTTAGTAAATCACTTTAAAGTTTATTCTACTAGCGTAAACAACTGTGGAGTTTTAATATTTAATCCATTGTGCTAATCAAAAGATACTGGGTATTGAAAGACTAATATTAGTCTTTTAATATAATAAGGATCTTTAAATAATACTGGGTATTATAGGTATCATTACCAAGTCTTGATTCGATAATTTTGAATAAATTGAGCATTGGGTAGATTGTTATAAATAAATAATATATTTGTAATATCCCCATGAGTAGAAAAATTAGATTTTCTGACGTTTCGTGACTCAGTGCAAGCCACTTCTTCAGAGAATAAATAACCAAATTAATATTAATCCAAGTTTAAATAGTACAACGGAACAATCCAAGAATATTAGGTGATCAATCAAAAACAGGTCTGAATAAATCACTGTCACGTCATTTCATTTCGGTCAAGGTGATTCATAAGCGACATGTATGTAATTTTGTGTGTATGTATGCACTGTTAATAATGAAAACTGTGTGACCTTTATAATTACAAAGGATAGAGTTTGATTGATCACCTAATATTCTTGGATTGTTCCGTTGTACTATTTAAACTTGGATTAATGTTAATTTGGTTACTTATTCTCTGAAGAAGTGGCTTACACTGAATCACGAAACGTCAGAAAATCTAATACTGGGTATTGTTTATATTCATAAATTACATACAATTGGGAACTTTTGAATGAATTTTGTATTTTGAAATCTGTGCGATATTATAGTAATTATTTATCAATAAATTAAATAGATTATAGATACGAATCTATATTTATGCTTTGTTAGGGAAAATTAACATTTAATTGAATGTCTATTCAACTTTATTTGTGAGATTTTCAATTAAGTTTGTTTCTTATTATACTACTTAAACAATACAGCTGACGAGTCCCAAAATAGCCACTATCCATCTTTGCTTACCATGCTTGTGAATTAAGACTATATCGAGGCAATACGCACAGTATGCACACATGTCAATTAGAGACTAACCAGTTGCAGTCCTAGAAACATCAATGGCAAGATCCAAACAAACAATACTAAGTAAATTTCTACTTATAAATAGTTTATTTGCGTATTTTAAAAAAACTTTATACTGTCTGAAGATAACCTACTATACAAACAAACAATAAATGAAGAGCTATAAAAATAAACTACATAGCACTGGGTAGTTTTTACTCAAACGGTATGATACTGGCATAGAGATCTGTAGACTGTGCACTTACTCTCATACAAAGCCATGGATAGATACTGATAATACATCCTAATTTATGATGAAACATGTATTCCTTGCTCAATACTATATAAAACTGTGACAGAAATCATTGATTGAATAGAATAATTTACAAATTTTAGATAGTTGAGAACATGAGTCTATTGAAGCTAAACCACCATGGAAAACCTGGAAGTATTGGGCGGCCGTTTCGTCCTATTTTGGGACTACTTAGAGGTGCTCAACCTCGTGAGATTCGAACCTAAGACATATCAGTTTCGCGCGCGAGCGCTTAACCTCTAGACCACTGAGTGGGCAGGCATCCAATGGATGGTGTTAATGTTTAACTTCAACCGATCCACGAAATTGAGCAACCAATCACCAATGTCTTCAGTGAGTTGATATCTCACAACAGACCTGGTTGAACTCCACTGGTCACTGCTTCTCATTAGAACTCCAGGAAATACCTCATGGAGCCAGTCACTAGTGAACATGTGATTATAGATCAGAAAAGGAGTTTGTGGAGATTTTAGTAATTTTATATAGTTGAGATCATGAGTCAAATAAAGCTATTATCATAAAATTTCTTTTTTTTACTTCTTTTTAAAAAGGTGTTCCATGACGGAAGAATGTCGAATGATTTATTATTCTAAAGAAAAACATGTCTGTGTTCAAATGTTACATGTTTATGCTTTATTACCAACATTATTTTCACGTTATTCTATTGCTTGGGAAAGTTATATCAAACAAATTGTTTAATATTGTTTTATTTCACTTGATGTTGTTTAATTGTATCTTCCCATTGTTAGGACGAAACGCCCGTCCTGGATTCCACTGCTAAGCGCTATCCATCTTTGCTCATAAAGATTGTTTTATTTCATTTATAATTTATATCATATTTCATATTACCGTACAAATTACATGTATTTTAATTAAGACAGTACATTTTTTAAATGTTACTTTGCTTATAAAGCTTGTGACTTCAGGCAATATCGAAGCAGTCCTCATAGGATGCACATATGCCAACAAGAGACTGATCAGTTGCAGTCGAAAATAATAATGGGGAGATACAAGTAAACAACGAGTGAATATAAATGATACCGTTTGTAAAATGATTTTTATTAATGTCAATAAAAAAAGGAGTTAAATTACTAATCAATAAATGCTTTATCAATGTTAACATACAGAGTGTCAAAATCATGTTGCAACAATTCAGATCTAATTTGAATATGTATGTATGTGGCTATCAGGACTCAGTAGCTGAGCGGATAACGCTATGGCGTTTGAAGCGACAGGTACTGGGTTTGAGTCCCAGAGTGAACATCAACTCTGAGATGCAAGTACATCCAGCTGATGAGTCCCAAATAGGACGAAATGCGCGTCCTGGATTCCACTGCTAGCCACTATCCATCGTTGCTTACAGTGCTTGTGAATTAAGGCTATATCGAGACAATACGCACAGTATACACACATGTCAATTAGAGACTAACCAGTTACAGTCCTAAACATCAATGGGAAGATTCAAACTCACAATACTAAGTGCATGTATGTACAATGGGATCACCTTTGGGCCCTATACTAGCTGATATTTTTCTAGTCAAACTAGAAAATCGTCCACTGAAAAAGATTATTTAAAACTTCAAATTTTACTGTAGATATATAGATGACACGTTCATCTTCTGTAAAGATAATACATCACTGTAACACGTTCTCAGGCAGTTTAACGAAGTGCATTCCGCCATTCAGTTTACATCTGAAGAAGAGAATGATGGTCGAATAGCCTTTTTTGGACGTTCTTTTAACTAAGAGAGCGGTTGGTTCGTTAAAGAGACACTTAAACAGAAAAAATACTTGGACTGGGCAGTATACGCATTTCTTTAGCTTTGTACCTCTATAGTACAAACGAAACTTGACCAAAACGCTTAGTAACCGAATATTCACTATATGTTCTGCGGATATAGTTGAAGATGAACTAAACACCCTGCAAAATACTCTTAAGGAGAACGGTTACCCTATAAAGTTTATAATTAAATATATGATCACGAAAGTGAAAATAGGCGAAATTCAAACGGTCAAGAAGAAATCCCTGTTCATGCACCTACAATTCAGAGGGGATGTAACTAGTGAAATACTAACCCAGAGATTACGCAAGACAATACGAAAATCTTTCAACGCCGGTGAACTATGTTTAGTGTTTTCTACGCGCCCAATGGTGACGTCGAGGCTAAAAAGATGAATTATCTAGAATGACCACCTCATTTTTTATTTATCAGTTTAACTGCTCATGTGGAGCAAGTTATATTGGTCAAAGTTCTAGGAATTTACATTTTCATGCTCGCGAACACCTCCTAGCTTGGCTAAGTAAAAGTCTGGTGAAGAAAAAGAACAACTCGATATTGACCCATTTAATGCAAACTGGTCATAGTGCCAGTATAAACCAATCCTTTTCGATTATTTATAGGGTCAGTAACTTTTTGCCAAAGGTTTCCAGGCTTAAAGTCCTTCAAACGGCTGAGGCAGTAGCCATCCGGATGAAGAAACTGGAGCTATGCGCACAAAAGAAATATCTCCGACCCCTACTCCTCCCTTGGCCAACCACAAGGTCAATTAATCAACAGTAATCTTAGCTATTGGATGACCTAATTTGACTATGTACGTACGACCTTTAGTAGTCAAATGTAATTGTCTCTCTTATCTTTATTCACAAATCTTTGTATATTATTATTATTATTATTATTATTATTATTATTATTATTATTATTATTATTGGTTGAACATCATTATTAATCTCTCCTAGACATGATTCATTCACTTCGCATTCATCTCTCCTTATTACGTTTTACTAATTTTTCACACAATTTAGTCTTCCACTTGATCGAATTGTAATTGCACTATCATATCTCTCTCATCCTATCTGACCCACATTTATTCTGATCACGGGTCTTAAATTTTCACTTAACATATATGCAGATTCAGGTGTTGCCATTCTATATAAGTCAATATTGACATTAAATAATTTTATTCTATTTGGTTTGACAATCCTAAATTTACATGCTTTAAACGATGTACGTTGCCTTAACGTGGCCGTTTTTTTCGGGTTATTAGTTCGAAAAGAAAATTTCTTGTGTCTAACTGAGATTTCGATAACTAAGTTTATGCTGACGGTATTTTCTTCTCTTTTTCTGTATGGATGATATGGATAGTATGAAGGTAATCCACATCAAACTCAAAAATAACTGAATTAATTTTCTGTTCCATATAATATTCTTCCTTGATCTGTTGTCTTCTACTATAGAATGTATAAGTCAAATACGTTTTCTTTGCTATTGAATAGTTTGAAATGTTTATTATAATGATGCCTAGTTCATTTTTGATCATTTAGGCCATACATGACAATTATAATTACATCTCTTACATAACTGCATTTTGATGATATTTTAACATAGGAACGAAACAATGAAGAACAGAAAAAAATGGCTAACAGTTCTTTGCACGAACTTGAAAAAGTGATGCTAGAAATCCTTTATTTTACCAATAATTTTATTTTAAAAACAAGAAAACATATATATTCTGCTGGTTTACATCTTATCAGACGATGTCATACCAACAATTATTAATAGAGACGCATGGAGTAGTTTATTTAGTATAAATAGATAGGTTCGAGATGATCTAGTGATCAAAGCAAAATTGTACGCTAACTCCAAATAATCTAATTCAGTTCCTATCAAAAACATGAACTGACAAGAACTAGCTACTTTTTTCACTATTTTAAATGAATGCCCAAGTAGATCACATCATTACAGATGTATCAAACAATAGGAATTCTTGTGTTATGCAAATTTTTGAAGAGATTGATATTTCTATTTATATGAATCGTAGATTTTTTATTATTTATACTGTTGATATAATCAGAGTAAAATTCAAAATAGATGGGTGTTGTTTTACGGAAGGCAACAATAAAATCTAATCACTTACAAAAAAAAGATGAAGGAATATTCGAAATAGCTTGTACATACTTACATCAGTGTATCGAACTTATTGACAAAATTATCAAAGATGTGGTTCTTGTAATACAGATGAATTTTAATAGCAAATAATAAACTCACTATCATGGACTTGATGTATTTTTTTCAGATGGATTAAAAAATAACCAATCATAGTAACAGATAAAATGTTTTAATGTGCTTATTTGAAAGTAGCTAATATTTTGGGTTTCAACTCAATAATTAGACGGATTGATTTTCAAAACCTAAGTTGTGCGTTGAGATATTATTTTGATTGTTTGAATTTTGGCATCCTTAGAATATATTTTGCTTTCATATCACAATAATCACTCAAAAGGACCAACATAATATATTTGCAAATAAAGAAGGAGGGAATTTCAATAGATGTTATCTACTACTATGGGTTCTGTGCAGTAGTTTTCAGGCCCTGAGATATCTACACAAATAATAAGAAAGTAACATAGAGAACAACAGGAGAGAAATTAAACAAGCAATAGCTTCAACGTATCAGGAGGTGCAGGGCTACAAGAAGAATCATCATAAGGAACGGATCTCCATCGAAATCCTGGGGAGTACTCAGGAAGGGAAGAACATGTATACAGTAATTAGCAACAGTCGAAAAATTGCACAAAAAACCAAGGCACAGACTAAACAAACTGAAACGAACATAAGATGGGAGGACATCATCAGAGTGAAAAGTAGAAATATATGGAAGACACAGCAATGACAGCGGATAAAGCTGTAAAAGGAGGAAATATCAGACAACTATGTGACACGACGAAGAAACTAGCAGGCAAATATTGTAAACCAGAGCAACCAGTCAAGCACAAGGAGAGCAAGACAATCAATGAGATTCAAGAACAAAAGAACAGGTGGGTGGAACATTGTTAAGAACTCTTGAATAAACTAGTTCCATTGGATCCACCAAACATCAAAGCAACACACACAAACCTTCCTATAGATGTCACCCCACCAACGATCGAAGAACAGCCATCAATGACACACGAAAAGGAAGGATATCTCATCACGATACCAAGGAAAGGGAATCTGTGTATTTATGAGAACTAGAGAAGAATCACACTGTTGTCAGTACCAGGAAACATTTTCAACAGAATGTTGCCGAACCTGATGAAAGACTCGGTAGACTCCAGAAATCGAGATCAACAAGCTGGATTCCATAAGGACCGATCATGCACAGACTAAATCGAGACACTATGGATCATCGTGGAACAATCAATTGAATAGGACTCGTCATTATACACCAACTTCATTGACTATGAGAAGACATTTGACATTGTGGATAGGAGAACCTTATGGAGACTTCTTCAACATTATGGTGTGAGCAGCTGAGAAAATCGTCAGCCTTATCATCCGGAATTCATACGACGGACTACACTGCAAAGTGATGCATGGAGGACAGTTGACAGATGTATTCCAAGTGTAAACCGGTGTCGGACAAGGCTGCTTACTCTCTCCCTTTCTCTTTCTTTTGGCAATAGACTGGATTATGAAGACCTTTACATCTGACGGGAGGCACAGAATACAATGGACAGGTTGGATGTAATTAGACGACTTGCACTTCACAGATCACCTACCTCTTCTATCCCATACACATCAACAAATATAGGTGAAGACAAGTAGTGTGACAGCAGCCTCCGCATCAGTAGGCCTCAACATATACAAAGTGAAAAGCAAGATCCTAAAAAATATAACACAGAGATCACAATAAAACCAATCACACTTGATGGTGAAGAGGTATTTTTCACGTTCTTAGGCGGCATCATCAATGAACAGGGAGGATCTGATGCCGACGTGAAGGCAAGGATT